CTTCCAACATCTGGTCTCCTCATGTCCTCCTAAACCTCCAACATCTGGTCTCCTCAAGTCCTCCTAAACCTCCAACAGCTGGTCTTGAAATGTTTTGTCCATCATCCAAAGGACTTCGTCAGTCCAAGGAGCCACAAGAAACTCAGTCCCATAAGTAGCACACTCACACTGTGGGTCAATCAGTTTGATGGTGCTGGGCCGCCTGAACTTTGTTGGATTTTTTTCAGAATCAGAATAATCTTTATCATCATTGGACCAAAGTACAGCGAGATTATTCCTGGGATATACCGAGATTATACCTGGATTATTGAGCATGAACATTGAAGTTAATGACATTATTTATCTAAGCAGATTAGTTTCAACGTTCGACGTGTTTATCATGTTCCATGGTGAATAAAATGTGTTGATGAGATTTTCAAATCACTGCTTTGTTTTTGTTTACATTTGTCACAACTGGGGTCGTGCACAAAACGCGTCTTTGCCTCAGTCTCAAGAAGTTCTCAGTAATCCACACGGTGTCCGAGCGTTGCTCCGTCTGGAAACATCTGGGAGGTTTTCACATCGAAGGAGGCGGGTGATTCCTCCGGCTTCGGCTCATATATCAGCTGAAATCACTTCAGCTCAGAAACGACTGCATGTTGGAGCCCAAATGTGGATCTTTCGGCTTTCTAAAACCAAGGATGGCGTTTTTTATTTGTAAGTTTGCTTTGTAGCTTCTTTAACGATCATCTGCATCAATCAGCTGTTAAACTTTAACGATTGTTTCTGGTGTGACACTGCGGATAAAAAAATATAGTTTACTCTACATGAATATCTGATAATTTATTGGTAAACAGCTAAACTTAGCTTAAAGTGCAGGGTGTTTACTGTGTGGTCGGTGCTTTAGTCCATAAAAGGACAAAGTATTCCTCAGACCTGTTCCTCCGGAGGTTTACTGCGTGGACGTTTATCATCTCCGTTCACCAAACCGTTCTTACAGAGGTCGTCAAAGGTTTCCATCCTCAGTGGCAGGAAATAATTTTAGTCTGTTAACAATTTGTTAGAACGACTCTTTAATCCAGGATGGAAAGATTATACAACGTACAGCAGCAGTGGTTGTTTTAAAACAAGAACTGGACGCTCAAGTTTGTATTTATTCTTGATTTCCTCCAGTCAGTAAATCCATACACCCCCACAAATATTAGTTAAACGTCCTTTAGCTGTCCCACCTGGACATCAGGCTTTTTGTCTCCGTCATCGAGCTTCTGGATGATTTTTGAACCGCTTGCTATTCACAGAGGGCTGAGTGATACTAGCAATAACAGCATTGTAAGAGGGGGACAGTTGGACACGGAGGCTCCGCCCCCGTTTAATGATGGATGATGTTCACACCCTCGATAGAGAGGAACGATGGTTTGAGAGAGGAGTGAAGGAGGCCATCTTTGTGAAGAGAACCTGTCCATCATTAAACGGGGGCGGAGCTTCCGTGTCCAACAATGCTGTGAATAGCAAGCGGCCTTCACAGCCCTAACGATCCACTGTTAGACTGATGGTCCTCCTTTTACACATGAACAGCTAGTTCTGGATGTTACAACAAACTGCTTGATCCACTCTGAGGAGGTGCTATTTATAAGTTTGTTGCAGCTCCTCAGACTGAAGAAGTCCTTTGGATAAAAGACGAAACGTTTCAGTAAAGAATAATCCGCCTGGAGGACCTGAGGCAACTTTTTTAGGTTTTTCTTTTTATTCTAAAAACGGTGAACGAAAACGAGAACCTCTCAGCAAACCATCCGGTTTCCCTCCACCTGAGGACGGATGAGCGCTGGTCAAACGAATCGTGTTGATGCTGGAGGAGAGAAACTTCCAGCTGCAGTCAGTCATGATCACCAACAGGAAATTGATGGGCCTTGTCAAATTAAAAGTCCTTCTAGGTCCTTCAGCATCACTTATTACAAAATGTATCTGAAGGTTTGGAAAGATTTTGAGGCTCCGTGGACAATTTAAAGTTTTAGTGGATCAGAGAAAATTAGTTTTATAATAATAAATATGATAATAATAAGTTCTGTGTTGCAAATTTATTCCACCCTGGAAAAATAAATAAATGTTTAAAGATTTAAATTATTGCAACACTCGTGTTGACGAGTGAAACGTGGCTGAAGCTGTAGATTTGGGTGTTTCAGCTGCGGTTTGTTGTGTTTTTGTTGACAGGGACCCCTCTCAGCTGCAGCTTCTGCACAGCCAGGTTCTCATGGAGCAACATCAGGAAACTAAACCGCAGACCCAAACGCAGCCTCAGACCCAGCCCCAGTTCCAGATCCAGGTCCCGTCCCAGGTGCAAAGCCCCCAGGAAAGTCCTTTGTGGTCTCCCAGGTTGCACTGTGAGCCCCAGGTGCCGTTTCTCGGCACGACGTCGCAGCCGACCCCTCGAGCTGCAGCTCCGCTGACCACCACGCCGCTCCCGGTTCTGGCGCCGACCTCGGGCCCGCCACCCAGAACCACAGCTGTACCTCTAGTCAGGACCTCCTCTGCTGCTCAGATCAGGACTTCCTCCATGGTGACGTCCCCGCCTCCCGCCCCACAGTTCCACACACCTCCTGCGCTCAGCGCCCCCCCTGGGAGCCACGCTAGCACCGTCCACGCCTCCCATCTGAACCTTTCTCCTGCTGCTCTTGCCAGAACTGCACCCAAACCTCAGGCTTGTCCCCCCCCTGCACCGATGCTGAACACCGTCGAGTCGACCGTCACCTTACAGCAGATCACCTCCCCCACCCCTCTACTCAGGAGCACCCACGCCTCCCTCATGAACCTGACCTCCATATCCCACACCTTCAACTACACCCGGCCCAAAGAGTTCATCGCTGCTCAGACCCTTCCTGCTGTCAGGAGCCCCTCCCCGACAGAATCCCCGGTTCCTCTGCTCCAAGAGCTCGCCGCTGAGCTCAACTCCTCAGCAGCCAGCTCCCCGACCCCCCCGCCTTTCTCCCCACCACCCAGGTTCTCCCCAACAAGGGTGCTCAAGTCCCCCGCCAGCCCTCCGTCCCTCGTGTCGTCTCCCACGCCGGGGTCGGCGCTGGCCTTCCGGGCCCAGTCGCCCCCACAGGCCTCCTCTCCCACCTCCAGCAGCTCCAGCCCCAGCCCGATCCAGAACCCCGTGGCCTTTCTCAGCTCAGTCCTGCCGTCGCTGACCCCGAGTCAGCCCACCAACTCCATGGGTCTCCCCAAAGGAGCTCCTTTAAGGTCTGTGCCGCCCCCGACACGAGACAGTGAACTTCCACCGTTTTTACTCCATCGTCGTTTTCCCCCTCTGTCCCAGCAGGGTCCAGAAGAAGACGCCGAAGACACGTCTCCCATCGGCTGAAAACATCCGGGAAAGCAAAGAGCTTCTCCTCCACGACATCGAGAAGAAACTTCGATTTCCAGATGAAGCTCCACAGGTTTCGTACCAACAGGTAAGCTCTGCCGCCGCCGTCCGTTCCAAACCCCAGGGATGCACGAACGCAACAGAACGGACACTTTTTGCTTCGACTCCGTCTTAATAAACATTATTTCTGTGTCGCTGCTAATTTTGACTAACCAGCTATTTTAAGATTCGTCAGCTTTGCGTCGCCATCGGTCTGTAGCGTTCTTCATGTACAGTCCGGTCCAAAACGGGTTCCAAAGAGCAAAACCCGACTTTTATAACGTTATGCATTAACCTAAAAAAAATTAAGTCAGGTCCTCTGGACGGATTCTTCTTGTTGAAACATTTTTATCCAAAGAACTTCTTCAGTCTGAGGAGCTGCAACAAACTCAGTCTTATAAATAGCACCTTCTCATAGTGGATCAACCAGTTTGTTGTTGACGTCCAGAACTAGCTGTTCACGTGATAAAGGAGGACCATCAGCCTAATGACAACACCCTGATGGCCGCTCGTTATTCACAGGGGGCTGAGTGATACTAGCAATAACAACATTGTAAGAGGGGGACAGTTGGACATGGAGGCTCCACCCCTGTTTAATGATAGACGGGTTCTCTTCATAAAGATGGCCTCCTCCACTCCTCTCTCAAACCATCGTTTCTCTCTATCAAGGATGTGAACGTCTTCATCCCTGAACGAGTGACCTCTGACCTGGTGACCTCAACCATCAGGTGAAAAGGAGGAACCCAGACCAGTGGTCATTCCACATGATGTTCAGAGAAACTGAGACGTTTATTTTCTAAACACAACGTCCCAGTGGCTTTTAAACCCCAAAATACATTAAAGACTGGTTCATCCCAAAGATCCAGTCCCCCGGCACAAACAGAGTAATGTTGTGTATGTTGTTCAGTGTCAGGAGGGTGATCAGTCTTACATCGGGGAAACTAAACAGCCACTGGCCAAAAGGATGGACCAGCACAGAAGATCAACATCATCAGGCCAGGACTCTGAGGTCTACACTCATCTCCAGGCCAGCGGTCACTCTTTCAGGGATGAAGATGTTCACATCCTGGACAGAGAGGAACGATGGTTTGAGAGAGGAGTAAAGGAGGCCATCTTTGTGAAAAGAAACCGTCCATCATTAAACAGGGGTGGAGCCTCCAGGTTCAATTGTCCCCCTCTTACAATGCTGTGATTGCTAGTATCACTCAGCCCTCTGTGAACAGTAAACAGCCATCAGGTGCTAATGATCCATTGTTAGACTGATGGTCCTTCTTGAGCATGTGATCAGCTGGTTCTGGTTGTCAGCAGCAAAACTGGTTGATCCACCCTGAGAAGGTGCTATTTAAGAGACTGAGTTTGTTGCAGCTCCTCAGACTGAATAAGTCCTTTGGATAAAAGATGAAACATTTCAACACCAAGAATCCATCCAGAGGACCTGACTTTACTTTGTTAGACTCAGGAGACGTTAAATTAAACTAAATCGTCCCTGTTTTTATTCATTTAGGAGTCCCGCCGTTATTCCTCTTTACATCCACAGATTTGTTGGTGGAGCTGAAAAAACCACAAACGTGACTCGGCTACACGAGTCGTCACAAAACTTCAGTCAACTGTTGTGAGAAACGTGTGAAAGACGACCCAGAACATTTGACCCAAGTCAAAGAATTTAAAGACAATAATGCCAAAGACAAAGGATGACGAATCATTTTGTGAGTCCTAACCTAAAACAGGACGAGATCTGGTTTCTGCTGCATCTGGATCTATTTTACATTTACTGCCCGTTACTGTAAAACTTTAGCGCTGTTTGTTCAGGAACTGGTTATTTGGTGACGACGTATTTTCTCAAAACTCGTCTCCTCTCACCTGCTGCACGAGCTTAAACATAAACACCCGGCAAACACGCGTGCACTATTTTAAAGTCTCAAATCCTCTGGAAACAGCCAAATCCTGCTTGTTTGTTGTGTTGCAGTGTCCCGACTTCATGTGGTGTTTTTTACAAAGTACTCGCTTACTTACTACTTTTTTACTTACTTTTTGTCTCGCCTTAGTTTCATCGTTTCCTGTCATTTATTTAACTTCCGGCGTGCACGCCAACCACAGCCTGTGTGTGTGTGCCATCGTTATGAGCTTGTACGAATCATCTGTGTGTCTTTGTGCTCATCATCATCATCCCTGTCCTCTCATAGAAGCTGCATAACAAGGGGGAAACAGCGAGCAGACCCCTTGGACCAAACATTCCTGCTACTGTCTTTAACTATGACGAGGTACAAGGATCTTCACCAAACTCTTGACGTTTGTTTAATGGAGGCCGCAGGCGTTTGAAAATCACACAAACTGTGTCTCTTCTTCCATAACTGCACGCCACCTGACATTTAATTAATGCCTGGTGGCGTGACATTGAACGCCTGGCGGCGCATGCTAATATAATTAACAATGTACAAACTCATTTCACATCACAAACATTAATTAATTAAAACCATAATAATTAACTAATCATGCACTTCATTTTCTGTTAACTAATAACCTGCACTAATAATCTACATTAAAAAAAATAAAAATCTAAAAATCAATAAAGCAACTCATGAAATGTTTATTTAAACTGTGTTTTGTTTTATTATTTCATTAGGTTTTCAGCCTATTTATGAATAAAAATACAGGAAACTGTCGTATTTCAAATCGTGTCATTAAAAGAATTATGCGACTTTAATGATTTTTATTTATTTATTTTATTAAACTTCAATCTGAGTTCTTTATTTCACCTTTTGGTTGTGAGTATAAAAAAACTGAACTGAATGGATTTTAAAAGTTTGTTGTTTTTTCTAGTCCCATTTTTATTCTTTAATGGAGCGCTGCAAGAAATGTGGCGGGAAATAAATTCTGCTCCAAACCAATGTCCATCCATTCACACATCCATCCATCCTCCATCCAACCATCCATCCATCTTTCTTTCCATCCAGCCATCAATCCACACATCCATCCATCCTCACATCCATCCATCTATCATCCATCCATCCATCCATCCATCCACACATCCATCCATCCATCCTCACATTCATCCATCCATCCTCCATCCACCCATCCATCCACACATCCATCCATCCACACATCCTC